AGAAGAAGAATTAAGAAAACAGAAGATAACGATTGACATGGCATTTAAATTTTTAAAGATCAAAGTTGACTAGGAATCAATAAGCTGGAACAGATTTCCACAATCGAGAAATGTGAGAGAAGAAACTGTTAGTATAGGACTTACGGCTACATCTTGAGCTTAACGCAAATCTAGTACTGTGTTTAAATTAATAAAGCCTAGCTAAATTAGGGGAATTAATATTTATTTTGAGTAATACAAAATGCGACACTAGGACAAATGGTAGGATAGGTGAAAGCTAGTTTTCACTCTGTCTCATCTAAAACTTAGCTAGTTGCAAATACTGACTCAAACATACCACAATATTCCTTACACCAAAACAACACATTCTTACTTACCATTCTTACTACAGTCACCATAATACCTCAATGTCTCTATGTAATCCTAACTAGTTCTCATTGAGGAATGTCCATCAGAACAATTACCAAGTATTTACAGAAATGTCAGAGGAAATCTACGCTACGGCGGTGAGAAAATCACTGAAGACGAGATGCTAGCTCAGGACCAGTAACATAGCAGATTCTTGTTTGGTTTTACCAAGAATCACTAAATATATAGCAGGAGCACCAGAGCAGATAGGGGAGTAATATTAAAAGGAAGGACGAATAGCAGACTTAAGTTGTTATAATTTATAAATGATATGCGTATAGTAATAAAGGAATAATTATAATTGAACATTGCCCCCCTTCTTTGTTAATGAGGTTGCTTCAGTGCTTGAGAAAAATCGCATATATTACATTAGACGCTAATAATTTTTTGTAACTTATGGAAGGGTAATGAATAGAAAAACCACACGAAGGTTGGTAATTAACGATAATATGACAAGAACAACATATATAAGATTCGCCAGCGGTCAAATAGTCAACTGCTAGAAGTGAGTCAAGCGAATTCCACAATTAATCTTCAACTGCGGGATATCTTCCAACCGCCGCACGCAGTCAGATGTGGCACAAGGCCAAATTTGATGTGGGGTATCCGATCCCGTAGGCTCGGCCAAAAATTGCCCGTAGACACCGCATAAAACGGATACGGGTAGCTGTTTCACGAGTGAGACTCTGCCCTTCGATATAGCCTCGTCTGGGGACCTTATCAGCCCGGAAACAGAGAATTTGACCAGCACACCTAGAGACGAATCTCCAGCTGTAGACCAAAATACAGTATTTACTACTGTATTTATGTGAATGGGGACATACCCATTATCGCCCGTAGGTATGCTACAAAAAATTTTAAATCAAAATTCAGTATATCTACAATAATTTGATGCACACAGTCGCGTCCGCGAATTAAATCACGCCGCTTCAAAATTTCATCTAAAACTTTCTGAAATGATATAACCCGTCATTGCTTTCGATCGTATTTCTGGGGACATGTGAAGTAGAGGCTTATTTGTCAAGGTTTGGACAGCTGGAACGTAGGCGAAGACAGATAATGAATTTCTTTCTCGGGCAGACAGATAAATGGTGAAGACATTGTTTCGATTTGATCGCAACCGACGTGTTGATCGTTTTTTTTGTTTTTTTTTTTGTTTGCAGATTTGACTTTTGAATCTGATTCCCGACACCCTTTCGGAAATAAATTGCGCTTGCCTGTTGAGCATCTCCTGACATGAACTTCTGTCTTCACTTCTTTGTTTTCCTTAATGTCATCCAATTCGTCTAGATTTGTCTACATATTTGTCCGGCATTTCTTTTTTTCGCTTCTCTATCACTTTGTCACTCCCTTCTTAAATGGATTTCCTCTTTAACACTTCCTGTTTCTCAGTCTGATTTAATATATTTCGCCTCGATATGGTTCCATCGCTACACATGGTTTTTTTCATTTGTCGTTACGCTTTGGTGTAATGGTGAATGGACCTAGTCTAGCAGACTATTCTTAAATCTTTACTGAATTTGATTCGGATTTGTTCTCCCATTTTTGTTTCCTGGTCTAAGATGAATTAATAGTAATAGTAATATTAGTCGTTTCCTTATAAGGAAACTTTTGGTATTTCAAGTTGCTCTAGAGTCCGCATTTTGAAGGAAAGCGTTATCAATGATAATATTCTGGTTTCGAATTTTCGATTGTCTCCCTTTAAAACTTACTTTGTTTTTTGTTTTGTTTTTTAATTTTTAAATGTACTTTTTATCACATAAAATTTTGTAACGCGCGATCAAATTTTCATTTTGAAAATTCGGCCCAGAAAAAAAATGTTTGGTAACCACTATCTTAAGGAATAAAAACAATCATTTCTGCTATCTCGTGAATACAAAAAAAAAATTCCCAAATCGTACATTTACAATGCGGCGGGAAGATGTATATCTGTCTAAAAAAATTGCTTTTCTTGTCAAAAAGAAAAAAAAAAAATAATAATTAAAAACCGACAACCTTCTCGGACAATTCTGAGAAAATAACTTCCAAGTCAATTTCGTACGATAATATTCACATTATTTTAAACATTCTGATACGGAGAAGGCAGGTTTATTAGTGCTCTTCTCAGTATTGATTGGGGTTTCCTTCCAAGATTTATGTTCGAAGTAGTGTGGAATATCAACATCTTGCTCATTCCATTATTTTTTCATTGTCTCACTATTATCCTCATCTTTGTCACCATATTTATTACAACGTTTCGGCCGTTTTACGCTCCGGCCTTCTGCAGGTGGTTGGAATGTCGAACTGGACCCTTTATTTCGCTCATTCGGGTAGACTCTTCTAGTTCCACGTGCCATGTTTGATGGATGTCAGTTATCAGTTTGGGTCCTGTCAATGGATCTAACCAACGCCTTTATCTACTGCGCCATGTGTCCTTGAGGAGATCTAGGTATAAATTTCTGGGTATTATAAACCTAATGTCTTCAGCAACCATTTTTTGCTCATATTGCAATTTTGCTGTTATCATTTCTATTTTAGTTGTTGTTCTTGTTGAAAGTTCTCAAGAGACATTGTTTCTCTTATTTGGTACAATTATTTGTGATTTTGCAACGCCAGGCTAAGGATATCATGGAGCGAGCATGTGAGCAATGATGATGTCTTAGAGATTTTGCAAACAACGAGAAGGCTTATACTTAACATCAGGAAGAGGCAGATGAAGTTTCTGGGACACATAATGAGGAAGGAGGGCCTGGAGAATCTGATACTCACAGGTCGAATAAAGGGAAAGAGAGACAAGGGAAACCAGTGCATGACATACCTGACGAGCTTGAGCAGGTGGATGACAGAATATGGTCTGGGGGAGGTGACAGAGGGAAGGAGATTGTTGAGAGCTGCAAGGGATAGAGGAAAGTGGAGAGCCATGATCGCCTACGTCCTGAAAGGACATGGCACATAAAAAGAAAAAGAAAGTCTTTGTTTCTAATAATATTTCCTTGTTTCTTAGCTAAAATTAAATAATTAATGAACCGGGCATGTGAGCAACGTCAAGGCCTTAGAGAGTTTGCAAACAAGGAGAAGGCTTATACTTAACATCAAAAAGAGGCAGCTGAAGTTTCTGGGACACATAATGAGGAAGGAGGGCTTGGAGAATCTGATACTCACAGGTCAAATAGAGAGAAAGAGAGACAAGGGAAAACAACTCGTAACATATCTGTCGAGCTTGAGCAGGTGAATGAAAGGATCTGGATGAGGAAGCAGAGGGAAGGAGCTTGCTGAGAACGGCAAGAGATGGTGGAGAGCCATGATCGCCTACTTCCTGAAAGAATATGGCACATAAAAGAGGTATACAAAGCTCAAATAGAAATGGTCTTCGCTAAAACCTACATGATTCATTCGCTCGAAACACTTTTTAGCTATATTCATTTCTAAAAGTGGATCTGAGTAAGAAGATGATAAGTATCTCCAAATAATAAGAGTCGGATCGACGTTGAATACTTCCAAGCAAGATAGTCACATACCAATTTATTGAATTCGATCCTGACTGGCGTATCACCCTTGTCACTAAGCTAGGACTAGTATATACATACATTTTATAGTAATCCTCGAACCGTAGAACTAGTCCTTGCAGGTTTCTCTCACTGATCATTACCAATTCTTACTAAATATCGATAATGACTGGGAGAACAATGTTTTTGCATTTTATATTGCCTAAAGTCATTCGATGATGGTAGAAACGCAATTTCCAAAGATTTTCAGTGGAAACAAAATAAAATTTAACAACGCTACCGGAATATATGCAAGTTTGGTATACAATATTATCAGTTATATATTTTCCCTTTAAAGGACAGATCATATTTTTTTCGATAGTTGCATTTATTTTATTTTTTTTAATTAACTTTAAATATATTTGATATAATATTGCATTTGTTTGGATATAGGTTTATCGATTTTATTAACGAAGCTTTAGCTAATCTTAACATTATTTGTGTTATATTAGGGTGCGACAAAAATAAAACGAATATACAAAATCCCAACACCATATCCCTCGTATTATTATTATATTTGGAGGTGTCGAAAAGTTTTCGTTTCCAACCAAGAAGTCCTCCCAAATAGAATTCTGCTCTTTTGTCATTATGTCATGATTTGGGATGTTGGTAAGTTCTGTTTTCATTTTAGTTTATTTTGTGATAATGAGCATAACTAACTCGACACTTAACAGATTAAAGTTTGTATCGTCAGTCCTCGCTTTTTTCATCTGAACGCAACGTGCAAATCATCTCAGCGGAAATATGAAAACCGAGAAAAGTAACCCTACGATATTTTAAGTAGACAACTAGTTTATAAAAATCTGTAATCACCTTTGACTAATTTTTAGCAACTAGACTACAGATATCAATGTGGCTTAAGCAACCCCGAATAAAAAAAAAAAAAACAAACTTTAAATTAAAGAAAGAGTCCCTAAGTACTTCATTTTATACTATACTTAAGACTTCTAACAATTCTGATAGTTTTCTTATATTAAAATGTTTTTTTTCCTTTTCTGTTAGATCCCAGTTCACATACCCTAATGGGTTTCTCTATGGTAGAGTAATTACGAACCTTTCCATCAGACTATGCAGTTCGATCCTTGTCAGTGGCCAAAAATTGTGTCAAACTTTTCGTTCATTTCTCATCCATTTTTCTTGTCACTCTTTTTCATTCATTTTCTTTTCATTCTTTTTCATTTTCATATGTGTTTCTTTTTATTATTTTTCCATTTTCGTTCATTTCTCATTCGTTTTTTATTGTCACTTTTTTTCTTTTCATTGTTCGTTTCTTTTTGTTTATTTCTCATTCATTTTTCTTGTCACTCTTTTTCCATTCAGTTTTTTCATTCTTTTTCATTTTCATTTGTTCTCTTTCTTTTCATTGTTTGTTTCCTTTCGTTCATTTCTCATTCGTTTTACTTGTCACTCTGTTTTCATTCAGTTTTTTCATTCTTTTTTATATTCAGTTATTTTCTTATTATTTGTTTCTTTTCGTTCATTTCTCATTCGTTTTACTTGTCACTTTTTTTTCATTCATTTTTCATTCTTTTTCATTTTCATTTTCATTTGTTTTCTTTCTTTTCATTATTTGTCCCTTTTCGTTCAATTCTCATTCGTTTTACTTATCACTCTGTTTTCATTCAGTTTTTTCATTCTTTTTTATATTCAATTATTTTCTTATTATTATTTGTTTCTTTTAGTTCATTTCTCATTCGTTTCTCGTGTCACTCTTTTTTCATTCAGTTTTTCATTTTTGTCATTTTTCATTTGTTTTCTTTTTATTATTTGTCTTTTTCATTTGGTTCATTTCTCATTTCTTTTCGTGTCACTCTTTTTTCATTCATTTTTTCATTTTTTTTTCATTTTCATTTGTTTTTTTTTATTATTTGTCCCTTTTCGTTCATTTCTCAGTCGATTTCTTTGTCACTCGTTTATCATTCATTTTCTTTTTCATTGTTTCACATTTTGTCATTTCTGCGTTTTCCTTCTTACTTTTTTTTTTACCTCTATTTTCTTTTTCATTTTCATTGTTTTTCTTTTTATTATTTATCCATTTTAGGTTCATTTCTCATTCATTTTTATTGACACCCTTTTTTTTCATTCATTTTCTTTTTCATTCTTTTTTCATTTCCATTTGTTTTCATCATTCTTTCCCCTTCCATTCTGTTTGGGCTTTTCATTCATTTCTTTCTTTTTTTTATTGTTCCTCTTCTTCTTGTATAATATCTTTCTTTCTTTTTTTTCTCTCTTCATTATTCATTCATCTTTAATGCCACATTTTTTATCTTTCTTTTTCATCCTTCACTTTTTCATTACTGTTCTTTTTCTCTCACTATTTCTCTCCTCCCATTGTTTTCCTTCGTTTGTCTACGTTCTTCTTTCTTTTGATTGTAAAATTCCCTTGCAGAAATGCTTGCCACCAGCAAATCATTCATAGATGCAAAAGTTTCGATTTTCATTAAGTCTATTTAATAAGTAAATATTATTAAGCTGGGATCCACTCGTTTTAATTTCATAGTCTCAATAACTTTGCCAACTCCTTCATTAAGTTATTTGCTTATTAATTTTCGTAGACGCAATTAATTGATTGCTTGTGACTTGAATTCCTGTCCAAATTCAATGGACGTATAAATAACAATATTGAACATTTCTATTCGGTTTTCACTTGCTATAAAAGATGTGTTTCTAATTCTTTCGAATAGTTTGCATGAATATAAAACTGAGGAGTGAAATAAATGTTTACAATTATTATAAGATTTATACAGTTGTGATATATGCGTATGAGTTTTGAATTCTTATACTAAGCCAGAAATAGTGTTGTTATTTACAATGGTCTGTCACTTCAGAACATATGCAACATGACTCTCCACACGTTCCTTTTATTTATTATATGTGTCATGATATATATATATATATATATATATATGTAAGCAAATATATAGATATAGATCCGACAGTATGAAGAAAAATATACTGAAAAAACAAACAAAATTCCTAATATGTGATTATGCTGTTTTACTGTTTAATGTCAACGTCGGACGTTTCGATCTAATAGACCATCTTCAGGACATATTCATAAAACATAATTAACATAAACCATATACAATTCAACATGAAAAAGACGATGGACATAAAAGCAATACCAATCCAAACAGATAAGTGAAATCTTTTATAAGTAGGGTAACAACGGATAAACTACTTGCCGAGTTTGAGTAAATGGATGGTAGAACAGAGTTTAGGATAGATAACGGAAAACAAAATGTAATAAGTGCTACAAAAGAGTGAAAATAGTGGAGAGCCATGATCTGAATGGTCACGTCACATAGAAGAAAAAGAAAAAAAAGAGAAATACCTTAGTATAATATGCACAAACTAATATGAATGCAGATTTAATAAATTAATTAAATTAATTTATTTACATGCTCACTTTGAACCAAATGAAAGTTTGCTTTCGGGAGGATTTTATCATATAGAGGGTGCGATGGGTAAATTGTCACCATTTTATATTTTTAATTTCGCGCATGCGCATTGGTTGTTTTGATTTTGTCGACTGCACAGTATAGTAGGGTCAGTTGGACACCAACTGCGAAAAAAAAAGTCCCCTGTTGTGACTCACTCCCCCAGAAATTTGTAAACTGAATACTGTTCCGCTTGTCATTCGCACCGTATACTCCAATCCAAAAATTGCAAAGTTTTTCGTTGTCAATCTGAGGAGAATACAGAGGATTCGGAAAGAGTTGGATGAGTCTAATGGTGATTTCGAAGATTGTTGAGGGCGAGGTTATGCCCCCATTCATCTTCTCACTGGGCTTCAGACTCAACAAAGATGTCTACATCAAGTGCCTTTATGAGGTAGGGCTGTTCTGGGTTAAAATGGTGACTGCTGGAAGAAACAATGTCTGTCAACAGGACTCTGCACCGTGCCACACAAGCAGAAGAATCCAGCCATGGCTGTCAAACAATTTCTGCGATCACAGCACCCCTTATATCTGGCCACCTAAATCCCCAGACTGCAACCCACTTGATTATTATGTGTGGGACGCAGTTGAGCGAGGGACCATAAACTCTCTTTGTAACGCCAAAGATGAACTGAAGGCAACGATTATGGCAGCATTCACCACCTTAAACAGGGAGAAAGCCCAGAAGATATGCAAGAGATTCCGATGTCGTCTGGGGGCCGTGGCTGAAGCCAATGGCGATTTTTTTTTTAGTAATAAATAAATTAAAATGAGATACCATTGTTTTTTCAATTTTCTTAAGAGGAAAATTTTCGCACCCTATATATATATTTATATAAATATATATATATATATATATATATAAAATGAGATATAATTGGGTTTATTGAATGTGTTTTCAATTTTGCCACAGTTTTCAGCCAATTTCAATGGCATCCTGGGTAAGACGATAAACTGCGTCCAGCAGCAGGCCTCTGATCAGGAGGTTTTGAGGAACATGGAAGCACCTCTTAATTGCTGATGTTCTCAGGTCTGCCCTGACCCAGGGTGGTAGCACCTGTTAGGGTCCCAACTATGGGCAAATAGTTAACCCCAAAACTGGGGTAAAAACACTATGAAAGTGTAAAAAGAGGTTTTAATGCCAGAAATACTTTAAAAAAATTATTACCAGAAATAAATTTTGTGTGTGTGTGTGTGTTGAAATTAATATCTACTGGTCTAGAGAGTCTTTTAAGATAATGCACCACGAGATTTTCTGGAAACCGTCATTTAACAAGGTGCGTCGTTACGGTAACGTATGTCCTTGCATTAAAGCAGTTACACTTGTTAAGTAACGTGCGTCTCTTCCTGCGACTATTGCATGCCTATATAGGCTAAGATAAAATCAATTAATGATGTTTGTATACGCTAGCCGATTCCGATCGTCCATAATAATTGCAGGAGATGCCGAAGTCCTCTGGAGGCAGTTGTTGAAGCCAACGGCGATTCTATCGAATAAATTTAATCTTTAGTATCTCAAGATATTTTATGTAATTTTGGTACATATATCTGTTAAAATGAGATGGCAGTGTTATTTTCATTTGTGTGTAATTTAGACGACAATTTATTCATCGCACCCTGTACTCAATAATAATAATAATAATAAGAAGAAGAAGAAGAAGAAGAAGAAGAAGAATAAGAAGAATAAGAAAGAAATTAAATCATTAATGTATAAAGTTTCCTCGAAATTTGGTTTCGACTAATCTACTTTGCGAGCTCATGGTAATAATTGTGCTGGCGGTTTTCAAATTTTAGATGCCGCCCCCTCTCTGAATCACTGAGCACCATCCACTAATAGTTTCACGTTCCTTACTCAGTGGGAGTTAATTAAAGCACAATAAAGTACTAAAGGTTGAATCCAGGGGGTTACCCCAACTGTTTGGTCTCTAGTTTCTATCTATCTATCTATCTATCTATCTATCTATCTATCTATCTATCTATCTATCTATCTATCTATCTATCTCATTATGTTTATTTCTCTCTTTATCTATGTATGTATGTATGTATGTATCTATCTATCTATCTATCTATCTATCTATATATATATATATATATATATATATATATATATATATATATCATAGTCTGTTTTGCTATATATATATATATATATATATATATATATATATATATATATATATATATCACAATCTGTTTATTTCTCTCTTTAGTCTGTTTTTCTCTCTCTCTCTCTCTGTATATATATATATATATATATATATATATATATATATATATATATATATATATATATATATATCAGTCTGTTACATTGTCTATCTCTCACTGCCTGTCTGTCTCTCTATCTATCTACCTATCTATCACAGTTTGTTCCTCTCTCTCTCTCTCTCTCTCTATATATATATATATATATATATATATATATATATATTTCTATCCCCTGTCTTGCGTGTGTAGGTTTGAAGCAACAGAAATATGATTGCACAGTAGGATGCTGAGAATACCACGGTCCAAACATGTGAACATCGACAAGTTTTAGAGAAAAGGAACACAAAAATACACTTATACATAACATTAAGAAAAGACGGTCGATGTTTCTGGGGTACATAATGAGGAAAGAGAACTTGGAAAATATGATACACACAGGACAGACTGAAGGCAAGAACGACAGAGAAAGACAACGTATAGCCTACCTAGTGACTTTGAGGGAATCGATGGCGGAACAATGCTTAGGAGAGATGACAAAAGAAAAAATCTATTAAGAGATACAAAGAAAAGGTAGTTGTGGAGAGTCACCTACGTATTAAAAGGACATAGCACATAGCAGAAGAATAAAACAAGAAGAACAAGAATAAGAACAAAAAAGAACAACATTTAGCGTGCCGATCTCATGAGTAATTACAGAATTGTATGTTGCTTGTAATTTTATGTCCAGAGTTAAATAAATACCTCAGAGTAATGCTTGGTCTCGTGGAGACATTTTATTGCTTCCAAGAGCTATTTCCAAATGCCCTGAACCGGTGTTTTGCAGTCAGAAAACGTTGGCAGACATTGTGTCTTCATGTGAGTATTGTCAGTACCATAAGGTTGATCGTGCAGACAGCATTTGGCAAGGGTAAACGAGAACGGAAAATCGGATTGGTTAATTAAGACAGCCTTTCGAATAAGTGAGATTCTCTCGAGACGGAGAGGGAAGGAAATAGTCGACGAGACTCCCCCCCCGGGGGTGCTTATGTCAAATGCTGCTTTGTACGTATCCTAACAGTGTGATCATGCTTTACAGCATTTGTTAACATTAAGGAAACACGTAGACAACATGCAAATGCAAAAGTTTTCTCTGTGCGCAGATGCAATGAGGAAGCAGACGAAGCTAAACCTGCCTTTTAATGTATGAAGTGACTTTTTCCTGGTAAACTTGTTTTGGTAGATATCTGTTGCTGAACACGAATCTGTTTGGGTATTAATAAGTCATTATTATGTTGCAGGTATCACATCGTTAGTTGTGATGTGTATAGACATTTTATATGAAATATTTTGCGTTCCTGGGACATTTATCCTGAAAACAATAATGGCGGGCTTATGTGATTCCGGGTAAAAATGATCAACCCAAAATAATGTCTATAAAACGTACAACAATCCATGCTATTTAGGATTAGAATTACATGTGTACACAACTGTAATGACAGGAAACAAATTAAAACTAGTTATAAGAATATGCTTGTCTGTGTGGTGGTGTGTAACAAGCGTGTGTGATTGAGAGACTTCAAAAGTCTTGACATGACCAACGTTGGCAGCGTTCTTTATCGACGTCGACTACATCTGGAAAACAGAGTTATAAAGAAGCTAAAAAAAATAAGCCACTTAGACTTTTCCATGAGTGACGTCGGTGATGAAAATTCCGATTAAATCGCTCGTAAATGTGGCTTCAAAATTCATAAAATATATATTGTTAAAAATTTCAACATATTTTTAGAGAAAAAATATAGTTTTTTTTATAGATCAACTGAGATACTTGTTTTAATTTTTTTTTAAAAGAATTTTAATACAAACAATATTTGAATAACTGATACGCGAGCGTTTTAACAATTCTCAAGAAATTAAAATAACTATTACATTTAACATTTAAACAAACCAATATTTCTGCCTTAATTCTTAATTATTTCACCCCAAGTAAGACAATAAAGCCACTAAGACATGGAATTACTGTGTATGAAAGAATATAAAAGTCGACAAACATTATTAAGAACAATAAAAGAACAGGAATTACGGAAACAGAGATAACGATGAATATTTCAATTTCTAAAGATCAAAGTTGACTGGGAAGCAAGAAATAGGAAGAGAATTCCACAAGTGAGAAGTGTGAGAAAAGAAACTGTTAGTATAAAACTGGTGGTTACATCTAGTTCTATCTACCGTAAAAGGATGTCAGACTAGTACTGTTCTTAAAGTCTAGGTACTATAGAAGAAAGCATATTTATTAAAGGATTCCTTGTCCAATGAAAACAACGGATATATTTTTGTGTTTAATATAAATATCGTACATACGAAATACAAGTTATTAGCTTTAATCCATCCCCTCCCACCACAGACTTTGAAATGTACATATGGGGACTAGTTAGGATTTCATAGAGACACGGAGGTATTATGGTGCATGTAGAAAGAAAGTTAGATGAGAATATGTTGTTTTGGTGTTAGGACGATTGTTGGTATGTTCGCGTCAGTGTTTGTGGCTAGCTAAGTTTAGAATTAAGATAGAAGAAGACCGTCCTTTTCCCCAATCCCATTTTTAGGCCTTGTGCCATATTTTGTACCATCGTACAAATAAATATTTACAAATAAAAAGAAATATCTATATATTTACAGGTTTCAAAAAAAATAAAATATGATTTTTTTTTTTTAAAGTAAAAATATTCAAAGCGGGGATAATTGGTTGGGTGTCTAAACGTTCGTAATGACGGAAGTAAAATCAGTATTTTTTTCGATGATGATGAAAAGTTACACGTTTGGTTTTGGAGATATTGTATATTACATGGCATGTTTTTTTCCGCACTGATCTTTTAAAGCTAGGTCAAGGCAGGGATTAGCTGCAAGGTTGTGATTAGGTCAGTTTTTGAAGGTTCGCCCATAAGCCGTTGTATCGTCAGCAGGGATATTTTCTAAGACACCTCGGGATATTATGACAGAAAGCAACAATAAAAAAAGATGGCGTGAAACAAGCAAATAAACAGTAATGATACTTTTTTCGACGACACCACCACCAACAACAACAATAATAATCATATAAAAAAACATTGGAAATATTAATTTAAAAATTTCTTGTTGGCAAAAAAGCTTGAGTAATTAACAAACGGAAACATGAAAATTATATATAGTTTATATTCGGACTATTGGGGCACCTAGGCGTGGCGTAATGCTTAACAAGCTTGTCTTGTTAGAACAATTACGACTGAATAGTGAGTTCGATCCTCATTGGGTGCCCCATACTTTCGGCCTTGTACCACATCTAAGCTTAGAAAAAAAAGCTCACCTCGACGTGGTGTAATGATTAGAAAGCTTGTCTTGCTAGATCAGTTACGACTGAGTAGTGAGTTCGATCCTCACTGGGTGCCCCATACATTCGGCCTCGTGCCATATCTAAGCCGCACTTATAAAATCACTATATTAAGACTATTTTTTTCATCTTTGTTGTTCTTATCACAACGTTTCGACCGTTGTGCGCTGCGGCCTTCTTCTGGTGTATAACGATCCTGAACCTAACCTTTTACTTAATTTCTGTGGGTGGGTGGAGGTAGACTATTTCCATTCCACTGTTCGTAACGCGTAGTTCTTACTTTATTTAATATTTAGTTATTGCTCGTCTGTTTACACTGATTTCAAGCAAACGCCGCCCGTCTCAGGAATTGAACTCACAACCACTATATCGCCAAATTCGCAAAACAACGCTTTTATCCATTAGGCCATTGTCCCGTAACTAATGGTAACTCTTTATCCAAGAAATTCAAACAGAAATTACGAAAATTATTTTCTGCAAAAGTAAAGTATTGTAAGTCCTTTATATTATATGTTCCTAAACAAACAATTTTTTTTTGACATACTTTGATCAACACCTAAGACCTAACATAAAAAGGGATTTCTTTTTTCAAGTAGTTGTTGAAAGATACGTTACAAGTTTATGAAAGGTACTTATTATCACAGACATCTGTATTTCGGATAAAGATGGGGTAGTTGATCTTATTTCAATGTGTTTGTCAGTATATTCTTGTGAAGAATGCTACTCGCTTTTATCTTGATGTTGTTTATTGTCTTCTCTTTTGCTCTATATTTTTCTTCTTTTTACTCATTCTTTTCTTTTCTTCTTTGCCCTTGAGGACATACGGCCCAGTGGCGTTTGTTAGATCCAGTGACAGGACCCAAAGAGTTGTGGTAATAATAATACATATTACGTTGTGCGGAACTACATCCGCCAAACCCTGACCATCTAAACGAAACATTACAAATGTACATATCTTTGTATTCATCTCGGTATTCAATACGAGACGCATACGCCTGTAGTACGCCTTTCTTAGTTTCTCCTTCATTTAGATATGCTGTATTCCATCTCCTTCACTAATCCCTAGTTACGAACTGGCTTCTTCTTGTTCCAGTTCCCTAATATAAATGACATATCTAAATCTATTGAGGGTATTTTTGTAATTCTCCTTTTCTTGACTGTCACTTTTACACATCTATCTAATCCGAAATCCATGCTTATGTCGTCACTAAAACATTTTACAGTATTGAAGAAACTGTTCAACTCACTGTCGTCTTTGGCAAAGAGTTTGAGATCATCCATGTTAACTAGATGACGGAATACATTTTTTTTTATTTTGCATCCATAGCTATTATTGTATTGTTCATACCTAAGGAGGATTAAGGGCAGAGAAAACGGAAGGGGTGACATAGAGTCTCCTTGAAAGATTCCTCGCTGGATATTCAAGCGCTTGGAGATGACAATGATTAAGGCATAATTTAGTTTTCCACGTTCCCATGCTGTGTTTAAGGAAATTTATTACCATAGAAGAGACTGTAAATTTTCAAAGTCTTAAGGACCCAAAAATGTGCACACTATCAAAGGGTTTTGGTAATCTAGTCATGCTGTGCTAAGATTTGTATATATTTTCCTGCAATTTTGTTTATCAGTTGTTGATCTTTGCAACCATATAAACATCTCGGGAATCCCTTCTGTTCCAGTGGAAGAATTTTGTTAGCTTCGAGAAAAGAATAAGTACGTTTCTGTCTATATTTCTGAGATGAGGTGTTATGTACATTATTTACATTATTCAGACTATTGTCTTCATCTTTGTCGCCATATTTATTACAATGATACATGGCACAGTGGATAAAGACGTTAGTTAGATCCAGTGAGAGGACCCAAAGAGTGTGAGTTCAATACCCGCTTAAGGCAGTGGAGAACTTTCAGAGGGAAATTAACAGGAGATCACTGATAACTGACATCCATTAAACATGGCAAGTGGAACTAGAACAGTCTACCCCAGTGAGTGAAATAAAATGTTCAGTTCGACATCCCAACCAATTGAAGAAAACCGAAGCGTACAACGACCGAACCTTTGTAATAAATATGGCGAAAAAGATGAGGACAATAGTCCGAATAATGTAAATAATGTAAGTACGTTTCGAAAGACATTTTATTATCCTATACAGTTTCACCCGTTTTTTGGCAGTAGATATGGAATACCTTCACTGATGCATTCTGGGACTTCATTGGGGTTATTAATAAGCATTGATAGAGTTTGTGAAAAAGTTTTATGGACCGATGACAAATGATAGTGCCAAAAATTGTGTACCTTTTCATTTCCTGGGAATTTTTATTTGGGAATCTAATTAGAGTTTGCCTAACACTATTTCTGGTTATATTTTTCCATTCTTGTAGAGGTTTATCCAATTCTCGTTGAGTTCATTCTGCATTGAAGTTATATTTCTAAATATTTATATTTCCAAATATTCTCTAAAAATTTCTGCACTTTCAATAAATGGTGGCTTTTTGATATGTGCGACTGCTTTTTCAATTACCCTGTAAAATTTCTTTAGATCTGTTAAGAATATTTTATTTTGACGATAAATCTTTCATCGCTTTTCGTATCGTCTTTTTCTTGCTTTTGACTGCAGTTTCTGTTTTAGCATTTCCTTGATTGATGGGATTTCATTCAGTGATTTCATTTTATATCTATGCTTGATCTTCCTGCATCTGCGTGGCGAGACATTTGGATTTCTTGTGATCTCATCTGGTATCGATATGTCAAATCTGATGGCCTTTAGTTTCTCGCATCAATTTTGCTTTCTCAACTGGCGCTTTTTGTCTGTTGTTTGACCTTTTGACCCCAAGCCTCCCAGTAGCTTCTAAAGCTGTTGACTATATAGTATTTACTTCTGGGATTTTTCGTAGTGGTTTGTTCGTTATCAGTGTTTGCAGTGCAGCATTGTATCTTTTCTTAGGCGATCATGACTCTCCACCTCCTTCTATCCCTTGTAGCTCTCAATAAGTGTCGCCCTCTGTCGCATCACAAAGACCACGTTCTGTCATATACTTGTTTAAGCTCGCCAGGTATGTCATGCATTGTTTAACCTTGTGTTTTTCCTTCTATTCGACCTTGATTCTCCAAGCCCTCCTTTTTCATTATATGTCCCCGAAATTTTAGCTGCCTCTTCCTGATGTTAAGTATAAACTTCCTCCTTGTTTGCATCCTTTCCAAAACCTCATCGTTGCTCACACTCTCGGTCCATGATATCATTAGTATCCTTCTATAGAACCATACGTCCGTTAGCTCGATTCTCTTTTTCATCTCGCTGCTGTAAAAAAAAAGGATAATATGCTTATTGGACTTTGCCATATAAATTTGTGGGAGATGGTCTGACATTTGTATGAGAATTACTCTGCTGAGTACTTGGATGATGTGATTTTACGCATCGGTGATTTCACCTATGTTGTTTTCATGGAGTTCTATCCTAATGTAATTGGACTTATCTTCAGTGACATAACCTGGATAACTGAAGGTTATATCACAGGTAGATTATTAGACTTTATTTGCTGGTAGATTATTATTTCGTATCTCATTTGTTTTAGTTTGTACCTTATCTGCTGTTATACATTTCTACTTTCGTCTTTTTCTTTTTTGAGTGTTGGGTTATTGCATTCCGTCTTATGTCTACTTTTATCTGCTCTCTTTCTGCATTTGAGCGTCTTTTGTTTCGCACAATGTCCCTGTGGACACTGGTAAGCATGTTTGGGTTGAGATGGGGTCTTACTCTACTTCCTACCATAGTTCTTGATATTTGGTATGTCTGATCCGTGATCTTTGTGGATTTTCCTGTGCGGTGAAAAAATGATGTCATGACTTGTTGATACTCTTCACGAGGCCATTTCATTCGCATTCATAGTATTAGTTAATTTGGTATTGCGTCACAAGGTTAGAAATAGTCCGGGTTTCTTAATGAAGTATCTCTTCGTTGTTGGATGAGTTTGGACCCGTGACAGATTTTCGGCCCCCGACTGGTTCCCCTCTGATGGACGCAGCCCTTGTCGACCCGGGGGTGTCAGTCAATCCGGTATGAGTACTTGTTCGTAATAATTGAGATTGGTATTTTTTTTTTGCGTTTTCTCCTTGACCGCCAAGGGGTAATTTTATTCAAGTTACCAGCTCTATGACTGTCGCCCTGCCCATGGGATAGTGGAAAGGGAGGGGGTTATATTCAGATTTCCATGGTTCAAGAGTTCATCATCTAGTACTGTATTCAGTAGGGTACGATAGTGTCATGGAAATGATACTGACTATCAGTTTTAACTTCGTATAAGGCACAGTGACCACTACCAGATAAAATATCAGAGGTGGACATACTTTTACATAAAGAGTTATCAAAAACAAAAATAAAATAAAATTAAAAAATTAAAAATAAATAAAGTTAAAGAGAATTTATTATTATTATTATTATTATTATTATTATTATTATTATTATTTTCTTTGATTTCTGTTGTATACTCATTTCTTTCTGGGTCCCAACCAGAGACCTAAGGTCTGAGATGGCATCGTGAAATTTCCCACTGATCATTTTTTGATAGAAAAAAAAATCCTAAAATCATGAAAATGTTAGATAGATAAAGCCTTTCGTAAGATGTGTTCTGTACTTGAGAGTACATTTATGGTATTTCTTTAAGGGTTAGGCTACCAGGAAACACATCGATGATTCTATCGGAATCTTTTTCAATTGATACTAGGGCCCTAACTAGATCATCATCACCATCATCATCATTATTATTTTATCATCATCCTTGTAATTCAATTTCTTCTATGGGCACACTACCTACCAAGTCTGCGAGAAGACTTAAGGCAGATAGTGGTGTGTGGTTATAGCTTCATTACATGATTTGTTTTTCTAACTCCAATAATGTCATTAGTATTACATAGACAGAGTTCTTCTTAATGTGTGGGCTCTACTTAACAAGATAATTCTTTTGTATTTATCTTAAGCTCGGATTTCAGGGATTTTTTCAATGTGTTGTTGTGTTCCTTTTTTATCATTCCAAGCGCACCTACTACCATTAGTACTATTCTTGTTTTTTATTCTTATTCTTATAGTTATTTATTTATTATTATTATTATTATTATTGTTATTATTTATCTTTATATTCCTCTTCTTTTTCTTCTTCTAAATTAAAAAAAAATCATCAGCGGAGCAAGACAGCCAATAAGCAATTCTCCTACATCCGTTGAATAATTTTTATGTTTTTTGTGTGACCTTTATATCGAATCAACATAACATTACTTAATAATGGTCATATACTAGAGAATGATATTTAAGAAGCTCATCTCACCGAGTGCAGTCATTCTTCTCGTTCTAACGAGCCAGTGGTAATCTCGGAAAACATATATTTGATAATCTTGACCAAAATATCTTAATAAAATCAATAATGGAATATTTTATTTAACTTTCAGCCAGCACTGATTTACCCAACTAGGTTGACGCAAATAATAATGCGCAACTTTTTTTTTATTAATTGGTGAAACGTCAAGCTTGTCTTTTATGGAAAGAGACTAATCAAATAGAAAAGACTTGTCTCGAGGCTTGTGAGAGTTGGATAAATAATTGCCGCAATTATAAGAAGCCAAGAAAGGAAATTAAATATCAGAAATTGCACAACATTTGGCGAAAGCGCTGTGAGGCCGAACGAAGGGTGATTTTGTGGGGACAGGAATGAATGACTTTTAGATCAAGGACATTAAGCTCAAAAACAAGAACGAATCAATATTGTCCACTTCACGTTTTACGTTTTCCACTTTAGTTTTGAATCCACCTAAACTATCCAGAACAGGTGTCTATAAATTTCTTTCATTCAATTGCAACTTGCTTAATTTTTGGTGGTGGTGGTGGTATGTATGTGTTTAGAGGGGTGTGGGGGTGATATTTTAAGGAATTCTTTTCATACCATTTGACAGCTATATTTTTCTATTCTTCCTTTTTTATTATATTTTATTTTATTTCCTAAAACTTTGTTTCTTGCTTTGTTTCTCTCTGCTTTTTTTTTTATTTAAAGATTTCTCGTTTGTACATTTTTTCTGTTCTGCTCTGGGTTTTTTTCTCTCTTTTTTCCTTCCTTCCTTCATTCCTTCCTTTCTCCCTTCCTTCCTTCCTTCTTTCTTTCTTTCCTTCGTTCGTTCTTTCGTTCTTTATTTCATTCGTTCATTCTTTCTCTTTCTTTCGCCATTTCTTTCTTTCGTCCTTTCTCTCTTTCTTTCCTTTGTTCGTTCGTTTTTTCGTTCTTTCTTTCGATTTTTCTTACGTTCTTTCTTTCTTTCGCTCGTTCGTTGTTTCTTTCGTTTTGTCTTTCTTTCGATTTTCGTTTGTTCTTTATTTTTTTCTCTTTCTTTCGCCCGTGTTTCTTTCATCCTTTCTCTCTTCCTTTCTTTCATCCATTCTCTCTTCCTTTCTTTCTTTCTTTCTTTCTTTCGTCCTTTCTCTCTTTCTTTCCTTCACTCGTTCTTTCTTTCGTTCTTTCTTTCTTTCGACCTTTCTTTCGACCTTTCTTTCGACCTTTCTTTCCTTCGTTCATTCGATCTGTTTTTTTCTTTCGACTTTTCTTACGTTCCTCCTTTCTTTCATTTTTTCGTTCGTTCATTGTTTCGTTAGCTATATCTTTCTTTCGACTTTTCTTTCGTTCTCTCGTTCGTTCGTTCCTTCCTTTGACCTTTCTTTTTTTACGTTCGTTCTTTCTTTCTGTCATTCGCTCGTTCTTTTTTTCGTCCTTTCTTTCGACCTTTCCTTCCTTCGTTCTGTTCTTTCTTTCGACCTTTCTTTCTTTTATTTTTACTTTCGTTCTTGCTTGCTTTCGATTTAGGGACATCTCACGGTGAAAAGTTAAGCAATGTCGAACCTGGTCATTACTTAGATGGTGTGACCGCTTGAAATTAGTTTAGATGTGCGTGTGGTATAATGGATAACATCTAGGAATTTGAAATCGGGGAGCCAGGTTCTTATTCCAGTCGGGTTATTTATATTTAAGTATGCTTAAACAGCCCCGAGAAAAATATGAATCCACCTCTAATACCCCCAGTTATGGATTAATTAGTAGAACTTGTATCAGCTAATAATTATTATTTACAAAAAAATCCCTAAAATCTAAAAAAAAATATTTTTGTCTTTAAATAACCTGAGAAGGTTGATAAACTGTAAAAAAAAGCAATCAATCTTTTTTTCCTTCACTTTTTCTCTTTCTTTCTGTGTTGTTCTTTTTTTCTATTCTTTTCTCCCTTTCTCTTCTTCAGTTTTCCTTCTTTCCTTTTAAGTTTCTATTAGTCTTTCCTTGTTTTCATTTTTTTCGTTTCGTTTCTTTCTTTACTAAATGTTTTGAAATATTTGGCTTATAAGTACAACCTCTTTTCCTCTTTTTGTTTCATCATCTTACATCCCGCCAAAAGCTGTTACCTTATTCCACGCTTACGTGGAATAAGGTAACACGCTGCTGTGAGACTCAAGAACAAATAGACCTATCGATACCATCTGCATCAATATTCAATTAAGCCTGTCTCGTTCATTTTTTTTTTAATTTTCCTGATTCGTATTTTCAAAAGAATTTCTCTTTTTGCAAAACTCATGGAATTTCTGGAAAGTTTCGAATGTCTAAAATTAATCTTGTTCGCCGTAGCTCTTCGTTTTTTTTTTTTTTGTTTTAGCTTCTAAGATGATTTAAATACGTTATACGTCACGCTGAAATGTTTGACGTCCAATGCGAAGCATTTAGTACGCTGTTTGAAGACTTTCCTAAGAGGACATCGCGCATGTCACTAGGAAACAGTATTAAATGCGTCAAAGGGAGCTTTAAGGCAATGATTCTATTAAAAGTAAGCTGATATTGGCCAGACCCTTTCGCACATCACTCCGACAATGGCAGACAAAAGGCACCCGGCTAAGTGCGTTTCCCCAGACGATGCAATTTCCGCTTTTTTTGCAACCGCAGAGATGCAAATGTCGAACATGGAACTTGACGCAGCAGCGCGCGTGTTGACGTCAAAGGGAAGGAACTCATACATTCTAACCTTCTTGCATGGGATATTCGATTGTCCAATTTTGACATACAGGAGATGTTTACAAAACTTAGACTATACTGGCACAAGGTCAGAACAATGAGTATTAAATCAGTTTTAAAACATAAGAATCGTCAAGCTAGTATTACCAGGAGATCTTAGGTACTAGAAAGGTCTGAACTTGTTACCGTATAATCGTATGGTCAGACAAAGCTACCAATAAATGTATCGATACAAACTACAATATGTGACGTCATAGAAGGCACATCGAAATATTAGGCCCACGATCCTTTCAAAAGGTCATATTTAATAAAGGACACTTTAGTGCATTTAAACATGTAATGTTTAAGGTACACTACCGATAACAAAAATAAATAAATAAATAAAAAAAAATAGTTGGTTGGTGATTTTGTTTAGCGGCATATAAAAACCTCTATGGGTTATTTAATGCCGAAATCTAAACATTTAGGACGTAACTGTATGCCTTCAGCTACAGAAAAAATCTATTCTTAGTCATTTTGCTACATGTATTGTTGAAAATTTGACTATAAATGTATTTGGTATAGGTAATATCATATCTACCATCCATTTTCTACTATAGTATTATGACTACTAATCATTTTCTACTATAGTATGATATTTAGCAACTGTTGGAAGTATGAAATATGTTAGTGTTAGGCTTAGGGGTTAGGATTAGGATTAAGGTTAGGTTTAAGGGTTAGGGTTAGGGTTAGGGTTAAAAGCAGTGAACTGGTTATGTATTAAAAATCATAAACAATTTATTATAAAAAAATAATCAAATAATGATTTTAATGTTTGTCAACTGATTTGATATGATTTAAAAAATCAGTTAAAAGGTCATGGTTTTTCCTGATCATTTTCCAGCAATAATGATTGCATCGTCATTTACGGTAGGTCACAAACGCCTGGTAGATAGCATATTATAATAGCACTATGCATTCTTAGACTTGCGTTGTATTTTGATTTTTTTGTTTTGTTTTAGGGCTCACTATTTGCCCATAGCTGGGACCCTAACGATTGCTAACACCCCGGGTCATGTTGAACCTGGGAATAACAGAAATTAAGAAGTGATTCCACTCTCCTCAAAAGCTCCAATCTCCCGATCAGAGGCCTTGCTGCCAGATGTAGTTTATCGTCATACCCAGGACTATCAACAATCTGTATATTAACTTATTAATACTACAAGGGCTGTTCTTTCTATCTTTAATAAAAACTTTGAAATGTTGTTGCTTATTTGACTACGTTATTAGAAGAACGGGTAACGACATCAGAGTTACAAAAGGACTGTTAAAAAATCTTACAAATAGGTTTAACTATAGCAGAGATCATTCCTTTTATTTTATGTTTCGTGTACATTTAAGACGTATGCGATCATGGTTCTCCACTTTTTCAAACTAATATTTGTCCCCTTACTATTCCGCTATATCTTCGGACTTACGCACTCACCTCGTAAATCGCATTACGGGCGTCCGGCGACGGCAAACGAAGGCCTTCGACGGAATTACGCACTTACCTCGTAAGGCGCATTACGGGAGTCCGGCTACGGCAAACGAAGGCCTTCGACGGAATTACGCACATACCTCGTAAGGCGCATTACGGGAGTCCGGCGACGGCAAACGAAGGCCTTCGACGGAATTACGCACATACCTCGGGGAGTCCGGCGACGGAGTCCGGCGACGCACAAATTACGGAAGTCCTTCGACGAAACGAAGGCATTTAACGATTCGACGGACTTACGCACTTACCTCAACGAAACTCATTAGACTGTCTACACATGGTTTTATTTTCTGCTCCTACATTCTTAACTACAGTGAGTTTTAAATTATCCAATTCTTCTCTCCTCGATGTGTCTGTCAGAACTTCTCTCTTGTCAATTACTAGTTTTAAGTATAAGTGCGCATTTACATTGCTATTTTCGTTATAACTTTCTTGTTGATCACATGCTCTCTCCATGGTTTACCTGTCAAAAAATTGTCCCGCATTCTCACTTACAGAGAGCGATTAATATAATAGTCAACAGCTTTTTACTCTGGTATCTTTCTATATTTCTGAGATGAGGTATTATTTACAGTATTTAAATTATTCGAACTATTGTCCTCAACTTTGTCGCCATGTGTATTAAAACGTTTCGGCCGTTGTGCGCTACGACCTTCTTAAGGTGGTTGGAATGTCGAACTGAAGCCTTTAGACACATGGCACAGTGTATAAAGGCGTTAGTTAGATCCAGTGACAGGGCCCAAAGAATGTGAGTTCAATACCTGGCTAAGGCAGTGGAGAACTGAGAGAGGTGAATTAACAGGAGATCCATTAGACATGGCACGTGGAACTAGAACAGACTACCCCAGTGAGCGAAATAAAGCGCACAGTCCGACATTTCGACCACCTGAAGAAGGCCGGAGCGTACAACGGTCGAAACGTTGTAATAAATATGGCGACAAAGATGAGGACAATAGTTCGAATAATGTAAATAGTGTACATGATGCCTCATCTCAGAAATATAGGCAGATTCTTTGGCATTATTTTGTAGAACGTCCTCACTGCTCTCACAAATCTCTTCATCTCCGAGGAAATTTTCTGGAATGTGCAAAAAAAAAGTAATTTCCTCAGTCATGGTACGAGATTCTCTAATTGTATGAGTATCTATCAATGCAGTGGAATTCGAAGAGCAAGTGCTTCTTGCAACAACTATGCCATTCTTTAAATAAAAAAAAGAATCAATCAAGGACTATATTTCACAGTGTTCTCGAAACTGTTTAGTTAACTAATCACTTTTTTTTTTATTGTTGTTTCAATCTTGGGGGATAGTTTATGGCTCAGATTTATTGCCAAAATTGTGAAAAAGAATTTGAAAATGCAATCATATTTCATTGTTCTGGGGAATTAAGCCGTGAGACAACTACACATCATCGGCCTGGTGCCTGGATTTAGTATGTGTGGGGGTTGGTAGTCTAAACATTACTCGACTTTAATTTATTTTCTCTTAATTAGTTCTGAGTTCAAATTCAACGGTTACCAGACTCTAGAATAATTTATTGCATAAAATCAATAACCTTAATTGATTTTTACACATTATTATTTCCCTAGATGCATGGAATATAATTGGCTTTCTTCATAAACTCTCCTCTTTTTCAATTATGCGAAAAGAAGTAATCTATCTTAGGTCTTTTTGATAGTTAATGCCGCCACACCTCATTGGGAAGGAACCACGCGTTCATCTTATAATAGACAAAATGGAAAAGCTTTTAATAAGAAAATAATATATTATTCAATATATATATATATATATATATATATATATATATATATATATATATATATATATATATGCAGTTTAAAATCAACAGCTTCCTTGCTTTCAACCTTACGGTATCCTCAGGCGATTTTTATCAAATGAACTCTTAAAAAATAATATAATCAAGTTTTTTTGGTTTTTTTTTTTAAATTAAGCGCTATGAGGTCATTTGAGATTTCTGTAAGATTGAAACCAATATAGCCAATTCAACTGATCTCCTCTT